GTCTACAAGTCCATTGAGTTCACTCTGCACGTGTGAGGCTGGCAGGGCCGATCCATTGATTTGGGGGCCCCATGCAAAGAGAGATGCTGAGGAATGTATATACAAGTAAAATATATTCATAATCCATAAATAGCACCAAACACATCCTTAGTATTATCAATTATATCATAATTCATAAATAGAACCAAATCCATTCTTAGTTACGTCAACTACACTTACTTTCTCATATTCGTAGTCCACTCAATTGACTTATATATATATATATATATATATTTTTAAGTGAAGGCAATTCAAAAACTAATAAAAAAACGACAAAATGAAGCAACCAACACTTCAGAACTCAAACTATTATAAACAACACTGAGAGAGTTGTGGTCGAATTGAACCACAAAGCTTCGGTTGATTTGAAAAAGAAAAAAAAAAAAAAGTTCAAAAGATAGATTCAGTTTGTGTGAGAGAGAGAGGAAGGCTCAAGAAGAAGACATTTGGAAGAGCAAAACTCATTATAAATAATAATAATAATAATAATAAACAAGAAAAAGACATGACGTGGCTAGAAAACATGTTAAAAGAATTTCGTAAAAACCATTTTCTTGTTTTCTTTTGTCACAAGGCTTTTTATTTTTATTTTTATTTTTTTAAAAAAGTTGAGTGTGGAGAAGTAAAGGCTCTTTTGGGTTTCTTTACTAAATGGGCTTAAAAAAATTTGGATGCCATGTGTAGTCGCCCAACCTGCACAAGCTATGGGTTGGGCTCACTGGCAGACCCAATCAAAGACAACTGTGGCCAGCTGTCCACACTTACCAAAAAATCTTCAGCCCTATAATCCCACTTAAATTCATAATTTTTAAATATTTTTAGGTCCCTTCTAAGTAAAGGCTCAGACTATAATGAGGAGTAAGTTATAAAGGGTAAGTTATAAGGGGTTCACTTTATAGTCATTGGATCAATCCAAGGGCTGGGGAGAATTGGGATAAAGTTGTGCAATCGGGTAGGTGAGGAACCCAAACCCGAATTTAATATCCAGCAATGAAGTTGGTCCCAAAAAAAAAAGAAAAAAGAGAGGCAAGTTCGAAGTTTGAACAGAAAAAACCCATTGATCTCAAACTCATAGCTCAGAGAAACTGCTAAGCTCTGAGAAACGGTTAAAGGCAACGGGCAACGACGGTTGAAGGCAAAGGTTAACGACGGTTGAACGCAACTCCACTATCTAAACCGTGAAAAAGTATTTATTTTGAGTGGAAGGAGCAAAGGCGTGGATTCTGAAACAGTGAAAAGACGAAGAAGTGGAAGGGGAAGGAGATAAGCCGTATTCGTTGGAAGTGATAGGTTCCATTTGTGGAGCAAAGCCGCACAAAGACCCAACACAGACACCTTGCGATTGTTCAATAACCAGCATTTGGTGAG